CGCTAACCAGAAAAAATAATTCAAACCATTTTAACTCTGCCCTGGGAGTTGGAGGAAGGATTATGACGTCGCGTGATGAAAGCCGAGTTCCCTCGGAAGTCACGGGGCTGATGCCTCTTCTGACAACCAGAGCAACCATTTTTTTAGGAACATGGAACGTTCGTACATTGTGGGAGACTGGAAGACTATTTCAAGTTGCGGCAGAAATGAGAAGATACAACCTCGAGGTGCTTGGAATCAGTGAAACACATTGGACACAAGTAGGACAACTGAGACTAGCTTCAGGGGAACTGCTGTTATACTCTGGTCATGAAGAGGAAAATGCTTCACATACACAAGGAGTTGCATTGATGCTGTCCAAACATGCACAAAAGGCACTAATAGGATGGGAATCTCATGGACCCAGGATCATTAAAGCATCCTTCAAAACAAAGAAAGAGGACATTACAATGAACGTCATCCAATGTTATGCACCTACCAATGACTACAATGACGACGTTAAAGATCAATTCTACGAAAGGCTGCAGTCAATCGTCGATAAATGTTCACCAAACGATTTGACGATTCTTATGGGAGACCTGAATGCCAAGGTTGGAATGGACAACACTGGATATGAAGACATCATGGGACGGCATGGACTGGGAGAAAGGAACGAAAACGGTGAGAGATTTGCAAACCTATGTGCCTTCAACAAACTGGTCATCGGTGGCACAATATTCCCGCACAAACGCATACACAAAGCCACATGGATTTCACCGGATCACACTACTCAAAACCAGATTGATCATATCTGTATCAACAAAACGTTCAGAAGGACTATGGAGGATGTGAGAACCAGGAGAGGAGCTGATGTGGCCTCAGATCACCATTTGCTAATCGCCAAAATGAAACTGAAACTAAAGAAGCACTGGACAACGGGACAGACAACATCACACAAGTTTAATACGGCCTTTCTTCGGGATACTGTAAAGCTCAACGAATTCAAGATAGCCCTCACCAATAGGTTCCAGGCCTTACAGGATCTACACAATGGAGAGGACACAACATTGGAGAACAATTGGAAAGGGATTAAGGAGGCAATCACTTCAACATGTCAGGAGGTCCTTGGTCGCAAGAAGCAGCATCATAAGGAATGGATCTCTGTTGATACTCTCGCAAAAATTGAAGAAAGGAGGAACAAGAAAGCAGCAATCAATGTCAGCCGAACAAGAGCGGAGAAAGTTACCGCACAAGCTGCATACACAGAAGCAAACAGGGAAGTGAAGAAGAGCATCAGAGCTGACAAACGAAAATACGTGGAAGATCTAGCAACGACGGCGGAAAAGGCTGCAAGAGACGGAAACTTGAGACAATTGTATGAAACTACAAAGAAGCTCTCCGGGAACTATCGTAAACCAGAACGACCAGTGAAAAACAAGGAAGGCAAAGTAATCAGCAACACTGACGAACAGCGAAATAGGTGGGTAGAGCACTTTAAGGAACTCCTAAATCGACCAGCTCCTCTGAAGACACCCAACATCGAAGCAGCATCCACGGACCTCCCAATTAATATTGGCGCACCTACGATTGAGGAGATCAGTATGGCCATCAGACAAATCAAGAGCGGCAAAGCAGCAGGACCAGACAACATTCCAGCAGAGGCAATGAAAGCAGATGTAGAAGCAACCGCGAAAATATTTCACATCCTCTTCAAGAAGATTTGGGATGAGGAACAAGTACCATCAGACTGGAAGGAAGGATACCTGATCAAAATACCAAAGAAAGGCGACCTCAGCAAGTGTGAAAACTACAGAGGCATCACTCTTCTTTCAATACCAGGCAAAGTCTTCAACAGGGTATTGTTAAACAGAATGAAGGACTTCGTAGACGCCCAACTTCGAGATCAACAGGCCGGATTTCGTAAGGATCGATCATGTACTGACCAAATCGCTACATTACGGATCATTGTGGAACAATCAATTGAATGGAACTCACCACTCTACATCAACTTCATCGACTACGAGAAAGCATTCGATAGCGTGGATAGGAAAACACTGTGGAGGCTTCTTCGACACTACGGTGTGCCTGAGAAAATAGTTAACATCATACGGAACTCTTATGATGGATTCAACTGCAAAATCGTGCACGGAGGACAGCTAACCGACTCTTTCGAGGTAAAGACCGGTGTCAGGCAAGGTTGCTTACCTTCACCCTTCCTCTTTCTCCTGGTGATCGACTGGATTATGAAAACGTCAACAGCTGGAGGGAAGCACGGTATCAACTGGACAGTTAGGACGCAGCTGGACGATCTGGACTTCGCAGATGATCTGGCTCTTCTATCGCACACTCAACAACAAATGCAAGAGAAGACGACGAGTGTAGCAGCAGCCTCTGCAGCAGTAGGTCTCAACATACATAAAGGAAAGAGCAAAATTCTCCGATGCAACACAACATGCACCAATCAAATCACTCTTGATGGAGATGCCTTGGAGGACGTTAACACCTTTACATATCTGGGCAGCATCATCGACAATCAAGGTGGATAGGATGCAGATGTGAGGGCACGGATTGGCAAAGCGAGGGCTGCATTTCTACAGTTGAAAAATATCTGGAACTCCAAACAGATATCAATCAACACCAAAATAAGGATTTTCAATACAAATGTCAAGACAGTTCTACTGTATGGAGCCGAAACATGGAGAACTACCAAAGCCATCATCCAGAGGATACAAGTGTTTATTAACAGCTGTCTACGTAAAATACTTCGTATTCGTTGGCCAGACACCATCAGCAACAACGAACTGTGGGAGAGAACAAGTCAGATTCCAGTGGAAGAGGAAATCAGGAAGAAGCGGTGGAAGTGGATAGGACACACTCTACGAAAAGCACCTAACTGCGTCACGAGACAAGCCCTCACATGGAACCCTCAAGGCAAAAGGAAAAGAGGAAGGCCAAGGAACACACTACGCCGAGAAATAGAGAAAGATATGAGAGGAATGAACAAACATTGGACAGAACTGGAGGAAGAAGCCCAGGACAGAGTTGGTTGGAGAAAACTGGTGGGCGGCCTATGCTCCATTGGGGGTAACAGGCGAAAGTAAGTAAGTAAGTACTTACACTTATCTGATATTCACTTCACCCTTTGATCTTTCTTTCATTGAATAATTCAATATGAATGTTATTCTTCTTACGCCGGTTGTTCAATATTATTTCTAAGTTTGTCAACTTTTAGCAACGTCTCATTAAATATAGTAGCGAATAAAAAACACTGAAAGAATAAGTTGAAAAGTTTTCTTCAAAAACAAATGTACATCCACAGTAATCTGTGATTTGATTTTTCATAGGATTGATCAAATTAATTAATTACTTGACTAATACACAGAACTAGATTTGACTAATACGGATCAATTTTATTCCTATTTGCTTTAGTTTAACCTGACTGATAAATCAGTTTCGTCCTGGTTTGGGACTCCTCAGAATATGATATATCATCTATTTAACAATCTAGTGTGGTATTGGTTAATTACTGATAATATTGTGTTTATACAAAAAGCGTATTTATCTTTATGTATGCCTTTATTCACGAAACATGATTGAATGAAACTATGAAAAAAAGAATTTGTATTCATATCACTGAAGTACACATAATACAATGTTTATATTTACATTTACTTTAAGTCTTCATGATGAAAAAAAAACGCTCATGTCAAATTGTATATTAGTTTGATTAACATAATTAAAACCAATAACTTACATATTATTATAGTCAGAAAACCAACTCTCTTCATTTGTTTTGATATTCAGGCAAGAAATCTTATTCATGGAAGCTTCTATGCATATTATTCTTCTATCGACTATATTGTGAATACAAAACATACAATAGGTAATTGAAACTTTAGTTATTAGTAATTAAATGATTATTAACTGAATTTTATTTTAATAGATATTGTCAAAAGCTCATAGAAACATCCTTGGGCGAGTCACAAAATAATACACTAAAATACACAGCAACCAATCATAGCCAAGTATTTTCTTGGTGGGAAATGCGATCTCAAGGTCAGATGATCGGTTCATGCTCTAAAACATAAATTCCAAAATTAAGGCGTTTATCAAGTGAGTTGTGGAGATCTAACGTCCCCAACACTTTTGACATCTGTTGATATAACCAATTGAAATAGAGTTAAAAGAACATAGTTTCGACAGTTCTTAAATTAGAAAAGTAAATAAATGTAAGTGTTTCATTCACTCGAAATCAAGTGCTACATAATATCCAATTATTTTAAGTGATTATTTAATGGTGATCAAAGTCACATTTATCCAATATTATCAGTAAAACTTCAAAGTGGACACTGATAACACGATTCCGCGCTAGTAAATATTTATTAGCGAAGCTTGTCCGCCATCCCCATGGTACTAATGCTCTCTGTGCGATGAAGTAGATAACATGTTTGATGGAAATAACTCACTTCTACAGAATGTCTTACTTTCTCACGCCTATTACCCCTTTCGGAGCATAGACCGCACGCCAGAATTCTTCATCCAGTTCTGTCTTGAACCTTCCGTTCCAATTCTTCCCAGCTGCTATTCGTACTTTTCATGTCTGCCTGTTCCTTGGCCTACCACTTTTCCTTTGTCCATGAGAGTTCTAAGTGAGGGCTTACATCGTGATGCAGTTGGGAGATTTCAGAAATGTGTATCCTATCCGCCTTAAGCTCTTTTTCCTAATTTCTTCCTCAGATGGAATCTGATTTGTTCTCTGCCACAGTAGGCTGTTGCTGATAATGCCTTGCCAACGGATCAACACTATTTCTCGTAGACAATCGTTGATAAATACCTGTTTCTTGTGGATGATGGCTTTCGTGGCTATCCAAGTTTCCGCTCCCTATTACGGAACTATTTCGACGTTGGTGCTGAACAGGATGTCACCTGAAACAATTAGGTCACTAGTGGCTACTCAAATCTTAAGTTGAGATTCATGTTTCTGGTCTCGTGGAATGTATATAATACATAGATTCATGCAAAGAATCACTCTCCACATCTTCTCGGTTCGTCAATAGTCGTGACTAACATACAAAGCCAGAACTCTTCAGTAATGAGTAGTCCTGCCAATATTCGTAACGTGTCTCCTGATTCAAGCACTCACCCAGTCGGTCAAACATATACGGCTACTACCAATGCCCCTTCCGTCGTTGCAACAGATCCAGAAAAACGTCACCTCATCCAGCAACAGTTGATCTTATTACTTCGTGCCCGCCGTTGTCAGCGCCAAGAAGATGAGAGCAACGGACGAATTAGCCAATGTACGACACCTCATTGCAACACAATGCGCGGAGTTTTACAACACATTACTTCATGTACACAAGTTAAAAATTGTCAAACACCACATTGTGCTTCCTCTCGTCAAATTATATCTCACTGGCAAAAGTTTGACAATCGAGAGTGCCCTGTGTGCGGACCATTAAAGCAGGACCAACACTACCAACGTAATCAAGTGATACGTCCACCTCAGAATTCAACTCAGGTACATGCGGTCTCAAACCGCGTCCCCGAGGTAAATGGTGTTGACTGCAGTCCTCATTCATGTGTCGCTCAGCAACCACCCAGCCAAACCTTTCGGGTAACTTCCATCTCCAGTGTTCCTGTCAACACAGTTGCCACACGAGCACCGAGTTCAGTCATCCCCAGTACTCAGATCTCAGATGCTTCAAACTTGAATGGTGTTAATAATCATGTAGCAGTTAAATGTACATCAAGCGAGCAAAATGACTGGCGAAAAGGTGTGGATATACCTCAACGAAATAATGTCGTCCGCAGAATGTAAGTGATGAGTTTTACCTGTTTTATGTCGTCAGATTTATCTACTATAATTTTTAGCAGTACTTGCTCATGTACTTGTTCGTTTGCTTTTAACACTAAGTTTTTTCCCTAAATACTCCAAAATTGCTTTGGTGTTTGAATTAACTAGTGACTTCTTATCATTGTTGTATGCTTGATTCCGGATTCTAAATACAGTACATTCGTTCGTGCTTATCCCGTAGTTCTTGATTCATATACTTCTAATCATCATATTGGCGTCACGATGGAGCTTGTAATGGAACAGTTAGATATTCATTCTACTTCTGAAGCTTTTGAAGATTATTTGGAAATGTTTGAATTCTGGAGTATGTCAGTCAGTCAGTTAGTTGCAACGTAGAACTTCGTACGTAAGTACATCAGTTCATGTCGCCATACCACATCAGCACAGAGATGTATTTGTCCATTCAAATCCAATAGTAGAAGAGGTAGTTAAGGTATTAGAAGTAATCGGAGAGGTTAGGATTAGAAGATATTATTCAAGAAGTATGATTCAGTGAGAAAAGTTTAGAAAGTCAAAACTAGATTTGATGAGGAACCCAGAAGATTAGGATTTGAGAGAACACGAAGCATAAATGCACCGGCGCCATTGCGAACGATTTTTAGCCATGTCATTCAAAGTCTGTAACCATCGATTATTATCATCTCGCGGACCCCAACAAGGTAGCCAACAATTACCGACATGGCTAAGTCCACTCGTCAATGACTTCATGGATTTCTGCCATGTTTTGGTTTAGCCGCCCCTAGCTTTCTTCCAACCTACTCCTACATTACAAAACAAAGCTCGACGAGGCAGTCGGTGGTTAGGCATACGCAACACATGTCCCAATCACCTCAACTGATGAAGTTTCATTATTTCACCTATTGATCTGCCGTTCTTACCTAGCACCCGATTCCTAATAACAGTGTCGCTCACTCGGGTGTCCCAGGATATACGAGCAATGCTTCGAAGACACCTATGGTCGAAAACCAATAACCGACGAGTATCTTCTACTTTCACAGGCCATGTTTCACAGCCATAAAGTAAGACGGAGCGAACCACTGCGCAGTACACTCGTCCTTTAGTCAGCAAACGGATATCTCGCCTTCGCCATAAGTGACGCAGGTTGGCGAAAGCCAGTCGAGCCTTTTGTATCCGTGCTGATATTTCGTCAGTCAACAGGCCATCAGCACTGATGAGACTCCCAAGATAAGTGAAGCGGTCTACACGTTCGACTACTTCACTCCCTATCACTAGTTCAGGTGCCGATGCAACCTAGTCTTGAAGCGACATTTTGCATTTCGAGGGGGAAAACCGCATCCCGAACATGCTTGCATTGTTGCTTAGGGTAGTCAGAAGACTCTGCATTTTGTCAGCGTCTTCATCAAGTAGGACAATGTCATCGGCATATTCTAAGTCAATAAGCGAACCACCTGGTAAAAGGTCTACTCCTGAAAATTCAGACGAGGACAGGGTTATTTCTAGTAGCATGTCGATGATAAAATTAAACAAGAATGGAGAGAGTGGACATCTCTGACGGACACAACTTGAAGTGAAGAATTCCGGTGACAGCTCGCCATATTCTCTCACTCGACCAGTGGTATTTGAGTAGAGAGCTTGTATAAGGTTATTGTACTTCTTTCGTACACCTTTCAATGACAGACACTGCCACAGAACCTCACAATCCACCGAGTCAAATGCCGCTTTTAGGTTCTGGAAAACAACTATTGTAGGACGCCTAAATGTGTGTCTGTGTTCCAAGACCTGTCGTAGTGTGAAGATGTGGTCTATACAACCACGTTCAGGTCGAAAACCAGACTGGTTTTCTCGAGTTTGCTCTTCACGAGCTTCCGTTAAGCGCCGAAGTATTATTGAGGCCAATATTTTAGATACTATATTAGTTAGACTTATTCCCCTGTGATTATCACAAGAACACTGTAGTCCATTCTTATAGATTGGGACAATCAGTGATTGAGACCACTCGGATGGGATTGTGTCCAGTTCCCAGATTCTGCCTAAGATCTCAGTCAACCTAGTTGCTAAAACTGGACCACCATCCTTAAATATCTCAGGGGTCAGTCTATCAGGACCTGCAGCTCGCCCTCACTTCAGATTTCCTAACGCTTTCTCAACTTCATAAAGACTAGGGGGACTTATGTCGACTTGCCATTCAGGATGACTGGAGATCGTGGGTAACCGAAGAGTGGCTCGTGGCCAGTTGAACTGATCCATCAAGTGTTCTGCCCATCGATCCAGTCTCCTGGATTGATAATAAATAATAGTCCCATCATTTTTCGAAATAGTCTCACTTACACTAGGATTCCTATTACCAGTTTCCTTGATAAGTCGGAAAAGTTGTCTACTGTTGGCGGTCGCCTCTGCCTTTTCCATCGCTTTTGCTTTCGCCACCCACCACTGTTCGCGGTCGTTACGTAGGCGTTTTATAAGTCTGCGCCTAAGCTGACTTCGTTCTTCATCATGTCATCTGGATTATGACCAGGAATTATGTCAGAGATGATAAAATTGTGGCTCATTTCCTGACATTCATCGGAAAAGAAGCGTACAGCTTATCAAAAACTTTGGCATATCCAGAAAAACCTATCTCACTTCCCTATGCAATGCTTAAGGAGTTATTATTGAATCATGTAAAGTGCCCTGGTTTTGAATGCCGTGAAAGGGAGTAATTTCATAAGATGACTCGTCAAAATGACCAAAAGGTTAAGGAATTCATTCTTGAATTGCAGAAACAAGCTGTCAAATGTAATTTCGGTGATCAACTTCATGTGCAGCTGAGAGACCGATTAATTGCAGGAATTAACATACCTAGTTGGGAAAGAGAGCTGTTAAGAATGTCAAACTGTTCCTTTCAAGATGTTAGAACTGCGTGCATTAACTACTAGGCGTTGAATGAACTTGATATTCAGTCGATGAAGATCTCCAATACTTTGATTAGTTGTCATGATGAAAAACAATCTCAGGGTCAATCAAAATTGTGTTCGTTTAACAGAGGTTCCTGTTCTCTTGTAAATATGAACGGTGTTTCAATAAAGAATTACAAAGGAAATCACAAAGGTGAGACCAAGTTTGGCAAATGTTTATCATGTGGAAAACTTCATTCTCGTAATTCATGTGCATTTCGTAATGCTAAATGTTTTAGATGTGGTAAGATAGGACACATTCAAGCAGTATGCAAAGCTACTGTTCATTTTGCCTCAAGTAGTACTAAATCTTGTAATTTAGATTCGAATAATTCAGCTGATCCCAATGATCATTTATCTTTGTCTACCACTTCAAAAGGTAATGCTCATATTCAAAAGCGATTATATACATCACTTGGTTCATGTCATGACTTTATTGTGGACACAGGCAGTATAGAGTCCATTATTTCATTCTAGAACTTGAAATTGTTAGGTCCTAACGTTGTGGTTCGACCCACTGAAGCATCAATATTGGGGATTACTGGACACAGACTGACTATACGAGGATGTTGTGAATTGCTAATAAGAGATGATAATTCCTCATACATACCTTGTGAATTTTTAGTTAGTGAAACAGGACTGTCAATACTGGGTTTAAAGAATTTGAAAAGGCTTAAAGTGGAGTTGTCTTTCCTAGTTTCTAAAGAAAATTCTGATGCTTTACTTAAAGATTTGATAGCCACGTGTGCTAAGTGCAGTGGAGGTATGAAAATTCAGCCTATAAAACTTCAAGTACAGGGTGATCCAGTCTTTCTCAAAAGACGAATAATTCCTTATGGTCTTCGAGATGCAGTGCATAAGACTTTGAATGATTTGTGTGCGAAAGGTATAACTGAACCGGTTCAGTCTTCTGCTTGGGGTACTCCTATTGTTACGCCACTGAAATCGGATGGTAAGACTCCCAGAATATGTGGTGACTATAGACCAACATTGAACTCCCGTTTGTTGAAGCAAACATGCACGACGGTAGAGGCTGAAGATTTCCTAAATCGACTTCATGGTCCTAAAGTGTTCTCGAAAATTGGCCTAAAAGATGCTTATCTTCAAATCCCTTCAGATCAATGCTCATCTGTTTTGACGACAATTAATACTCCTTTTGGTCTGTTTAAATACAATTTCCTTCCATTTGGGCTAAGTTGTTCTCCAGCCATATTCCAGGAAGTTATGAATAAGGTGGTTAGTGATCTTGAAGGTGTTGAAGTTTATCAAGATGATCTGATTGTTCATGGTTCTGATAAGGTAGTTCATGACCAAAGACTTCTTTCCTTATTGCGTCGTTTGATTGAGAAGAATATTACAGTAAATCCGAATAAGTGTTCATTTTGTGTATCTAGTTTTGAATTTCTTGGATACCTAGTTGATGGTAATGGTTTTAGACGAGATATGAAACGACTAGCTCCACTGACAAATGCACCGTCTCCAAAAAATCTTACGGAACTACGTTCACCAGTGGGTGCTCTTCAATACTATTCCCGTATTATTTCTAATTTTTCTTGTCGTTCAAATTGTTTATTTAATATTTTGACATCCAATTCATTCAAATGGGGTGAGGAACAAGAGTCATGCTTACGTAGTCTACTAAAGTTTCTTCAAAGTGATGCTGTTCTTCGAACTTACTCCCCTAGTGCACAGTCTGTGCTTATGACCGATGCATCACCTGTGGGTATTGGCGCAGTTTTGAAACAGGAAGATAGACCAGTTGTTTGTGTTTCACACAAACTTACTGTTACTGAACAAGGCTATTCACAGACTCAGCGTGAGGCATAAGCTGTGTTTTGGGCTGTTAAAAGACTTCATAGATATTTATTCGGAAAGAAATTCAGTATTGTTACTGATCATGAGGCTTCGCAGTTTATTTATTATCCTGAAAAATCCCTAGCACGAGCCTCAGCTGCTATGGTTCAACGATGGAGTATTGCTTTGAGCACCTACGACTATACGGTTCAGCACAGGAGTGTCAAGCAAATTCAACATGTTGACTACATTTCTCGACAGTCATTACAATATAAACCTGTTAATACTTCAGACTGTTTGTTGGTGCAACCTTT